CCCTATGAGCAAGCACTTTGGCGACAGTGGGAAGGAAAAACTCCCTTTTAACAGGAAGAAACCTCCGGCAAAACCAGGCTCAGGGTGGGGCGGCCATTTGCCGCGACCGCTTGGAGAGAGAGAAGGCAGACAGAATAACTACAGTGCATAATCCTAGCTACGGTGGCTGCTGTAGGACAAATAAGTTTTAGTTAGCCAAGACAGATAAAAAAAAAAAATTACATTCAGACTGTACCCGGTAACGGACACGGCCAGCCAGCCTGTTTCTACTAGTAAGTAAGTAAACTTTATTTATACAGCACCTTTCACAGGTCAAAAACCACAAAGTCCTTTGTAATAAAAACAGGCAAAAACAACAACAAAAAAACAAAACACTGGATGCAGAGCCACCTTGGAGGTTTTCTCCATCTGTAGAAGGCTGTTCTATTTTTACCTCAGCTATCAATGCCGGGTGAGATGCATCCACCTTTATTTACTCTGCAAGAGGCTCTTGCACTTTGTGAAATGAGTCCTGCAAGGACTCCATGAATCAGACAAGCTCACTTCTGACCAACAACAGCGATAATGAGGCGAGTTGTTGAGGATATGCGGAAGTTTCTGCCAGTAAGGGCTGCGGTTTTTGCTGCTATTAGCTAGTGTTAGCCTCCGTTAGGTGCTATTTACTCCGGTAAGCCTCTGTTAGCTGCAGTTAGCCTCTGTTAGCTACAGTTAGGTACTTTTAGCTGGTGTCAACATTGCTGGATCCTAACACTTAGTGAATAAACTCTTTTTGTGTGTTAGAGCGCTGACTTCAGTTCAGGAGATGAAGCTTGAGGTGAGGAGGAAGGGGATAGAAATTTGTCCCTTTCCTTCAGTTTTTCAGTTCTCTGCTGAAGGGGGCCCCTTCTCTGAAAATAAAAGAGGTATGATGCTTCATGTCTTGAGTCTGAAGATCCAGGAACAAATATTAATGTCCTTTCAGAGCACACTAAGGCCTGAGACGTCTCTACTTCTCTGCTTTTGACACAATACTTATGTGGCCGGTCTCTAGCCCCAAATGTAAAACACCATGGGTAAGAAGGAAGATGTCATAAGGGAAATGCCCACTTTTATCTATTTTTTATTGATTAATTATATGTTTATGAGAACACATCAAGTTGATGGAAGGTGTAATTACACACAGTTCTATGTATATTTATGAGTACAGTATCCTTTTTTTCTTTTAAATAACATACCTTTAACTATATGTGTACCAGTCAAGCTTGCAGGAGTAATCACACCCCAAAAACCCATTCTGCTGCTGTGTAGGATGGATGGTTAACTCACGTCATGATGGTTAAGTCATGTATGACATTATACCCATACACACCCTGGGGATGACAAATGAAGCCACTTCCTGGTGTATACTGAGCTCTACCCTTGGAGGTGCTTATAGGTATAGGTGGTTTTTATTACCCTCAAAGCCCTAAGGCTGAATGCTATGTCTCCAAAAAGAAAAAAATAATACAATTTTAGCTTACAGAATTTACTAAAACAACATATTGGAGACAGATTATTATGATCCTTTGTTTTGTAATAATTCTTACATTATGCATTTCAAAACTTTTTGTGCACTTTTACCCCTTGATTAAAGTTCACATTCACTTCTCCTCAGACTGTAGCAGGATTACCTCAACTGAACTTAAATTTGTTTATTCAGCTTGTTACTTAAATTACAACCAAAGTTCTTGGAAAGCCACGTAAGATTAAAAGAATAATAAAACCACAATTTCTCCAGTCTTTGAACAACCATTTTACATAATCACAATCTCAGTATTGCGCATAAGGAAACCTAGTTTAGGTCTATAGCCAATTTCCCCTTTACTTTTATGAGCGGCAAATTTGATAAGTAATTAATCTAAACTTCATCAGCAGTTAAAGTTATGAATTATTAGGACTGGCTGCTTTGAGGTACAGTCTGGAGGACTTAAGATATTTATCTAACAAATACCATGCCATGACTAAGAACTCTGTTGCTATTCTTTGTGAGTGAAATTGTGCGGTTTATTACAAGTCTTTAGCACTAATTAGCAGGTAAGTGACATGGCAAGAAAACTACATACGCTTACCTGCCATTTCATGAGGTACAGCTGCTTGTTAAGAAAAATATCTCATCAGCCAATCACATGAAAGCAACTCAATGCACTTAGACATGATCAAGACGACCTCCTAAAGTCCAAAATAGGCATCAGAATGGGGAAGATTTAACAAACTTTGAAGGTGGCATAGTTTCTGGTAAAATGGTAAATGGCCTGTATTTATATAGCGCTTTACTAGCCCCTAAGGACCCCAAAGCGCTTTACACATCCAGTCATTCACCCATTCACACACACATTCACACACTGGCGATGGCGAAGTCCCAACTCTTGAGCCACGATCGCCCACAGGCTGGTGTAAGTATTTCAGAAACTATTTATCTGTTGGGATTTTCCCACAGAACCATCTCTTGGATTAACAGACACTGATCGTTGGGTGAAAAATGCTTTGTTGATGTCAGAGGAGAATGGCCAGACTCCTCCGAACAGTAACTTTAATAACCACTCGTTACAAGCATGAGATGTGAAAGCGCATCTCTGAACGCACAACATGTTGAATCTCAAAGCAGCCAATTATCACCGTAATCAGCACTAACATAGTACCTAAAGCCCCAGCCACATGGGATCCCCTGGTAAATCCTTGTGACTTCCAGGAACTGCTAAATGACTGAAATTCAGATTGTCATTTAGTTTTTATTGGGGAATAGCAATTTTTCCTTAGCAACCAATGGTTGCCATGGAGTCGCCAAACTGCGCCTGTGTGACTGAGGTTTACGGTACATGGTACTTTTCTAATTCCTCTTTTGCACTGCTGCTGTGCCCAGTGTAAAGTCAGTTCTGCTTTGTTGCCTTTGGAGAACCGGCTCTCACACAAACCGGTCTGAACAGTTGCACAGAGCATGGCGGGTGGACAAAATGTGGAAGCTGCAATTTCTTACAGCAATCGCTGACAGCAGTGGTTTCAACTCTTGGCCATGCTGGGGCTGGTTTCAGCATGAGCTCTGAACGATAAGATGCAGAAGTGAAAATTTACCATGATGACGTCCTCATTCTGCAGCCAATCAGGCAGCTGGGTGCTGTGAGACAACACTTGGTACAGCGTGGCTCTGAGGGCACAGTAGTTGTCCCCCCTGACTCTTCGTACGCTGGCAAAGCTCTGGGACATCTCCTTATAACCCTGCACCAACACACGGGGACATTAGAGGAAACATCCTAGCCATTAACGTAAAAATAAATAAATAAGAACGGGCTTTAACCTGAAATGATTCTTCTGAGAAACTTCAGGCACCAACCTTTTTAATGAGAGCGCTTTTAGGAGTATTTCCCTTCCACTCCCTCTCACTGTACAACAGAATATTCACCACCGGTGACAAACTGCATCTGTCCTCCACCTTTAAAACTGAGCGAGGGATAGCAGAGAAAGGTGAGACGATGGGCAGAACAAAAAGACTATTGTCCAGATTTCAAATGACAGACAAAAGCTGCACTTGTTGAAAATCACTGATGCAATAGAAGCGGAGGATGTACTCACGTTTTGTCTCCAACTCGGGCTGTGACGCAGACAGCTCCTCTTCGCCTCTGTACAAATCTTCTTCACTATGATAAAACAGAAACACTTATTTTTAATCAAACAACAACTTATTTTTGTGTATCCAAAGCCTGGTCCTGGATCTCCATATCGAGCAATTTTAAGTCAATGCCAGCTGGGACAGGGACAACTTAATCTCACTAAAAATACTCACACTTCAAATGTGTAAGTCCAGATTTCATTTTTCTGTGACATTTGCAAAAAAAATAAATAAATAAATAAATAAACATAACAAACTTGACTATAAATACCAAACACATAATTTGTGTGTATTTTGCTACATTTTTGTCTCATAATCCCATTTGTTTCTTGGGTAAAAGTGGTTTTACCTCCTTTATTCTTTCAACAGATGCTGTGATTCAATTCAGGACTATAAAGTGAACAGAGGTGATCTTTACAGACCTGTCCTCCTTCTCCGTGGCCTCAGCCATAACATTCTTGGTTGCGCTCTCTGCCCGCTGCTCCTTTTTTCCTGTAACCTCCTCGCCTTCAGCATCTTTCACAGGTTCAGTCTCGGCCTCAGTTGGCCTCTCCTCTTTTATCTCTTCATCGTTCCGCTTGACCTTGAGGAGATCTTCATCGTTATCCTGCACTAACATTGCTTCCTGCTTGGTTTTCTCCACAGACACGACCTCCTCTGACATTGCAGGTGTATGCTCCGCATCTGACCTTTTATCTTCATCTAATGGCAAGCTGAAAAGAAAATGCATGTTTTGCGTATAAAGCCAAGTTTACCCTTCATGTCTTAAACTTGCAAATGTGCAACTTAAGTCGTATTTAGAAATGTAAAGCACACATTTAGCTGTAGGAAAACTGCAGGTATGAGGAGGGGTGACTGTCATAGAAGATGCAATGGTAAGAGTTCGCCCCCTAGTGGCCACAGTGCCACTCTGCCGCCATAAGTCCAGAGTTCACGTAAACAAATACCTTGTTTGTTTTGTTATTGCAAACTCTGAACCCACTGGCCTCTCTCTGGCGTCTGCTGGAGCTGTGGTTTCTGGCTCCTTCACTGAGCTGGCAGAGTCCTGTCCCTCACCGCTGTGGTCGAGTTCCGAGGGCTCCAATCCAGAAGACAACTGGGAGACATCATGGCTTTGTGGGTCTTCAG